TTGCCTGTTAGGTTCACTCCCTCTGGGGCACCTGGCATTGGCCACTGTCGGTAGACAGGATACTGGGCTAGATGGACCTTTGGTCTGACCCGGTACGGCCTTTCTTATGTTCTTATGTTCTTATTGTAGAGATGATCAAACCACAGAATTTCTGTTTTGTGGGAAATTCTGATATCTTGACATTTGTTTTCCTCCTGAATTGGATGAAAAGTCAAAATATCTAAACTTTTTGTGGGACAAAGTTCCAAAACAATTTGATTTGGCAATTTCTCAATGTTTCATTTTTTCACATTTTCAATTGAAAAAAATGTTTCAACATTCTCAAATCAACATATTTAATGTTGGAGGACATTAATCTCTCCATCTGCCTTCACCGCCAGAGTGCCACATGGGAATGTAATTTCAAGTCTTTCATGTCCCCATTCTTCCCTAGATGAACTACATCTTCCATGCTGCACCACAGCCCCTCCCTATGGTTGAGGTGCTGCAGCATATCATGGGACTCCCAAATAAAAATATTTAATTTTGTTTTCCTGGAAAATTCAGCCAAAATAGATTCTGCCAAAATAGATCCCTACAGAAAATTTTTATTTTGATGAAACTCCTTTTTCTGATGAGAAATGTTTCTTTCAAAAAATGTTGACCAGCCTATTCACTATGTCTAGTTACTTTTTAAACAGGAGAATAAGAAATATCTGTTCTCCCATCAAGAAGCTGAAACAAAACCATGTGACTTAGGTGAGCAATCACACAAGTATAAAGAATAATGAATAGATTATTTGAACAGTTGGCAAACATCTCACAGGGATGTTAGCATTCAACTACTCACAGTATAATTCTGACTAATGAATCCACTCATAGGAATCAGGGATTAGTTCATGAACAGAAAAAAGAGCCATGTTCATTCACAACAAATAATTCCATTCACTCCCCATTTGTACATTCACTTTTGTTTTTCTATTCAGTGTTTTCTCATTATGATTTTTTTTGTCATTATCACCAGGTTTTGGTTGGATTTAAATCCCTCTGACATATTGTGGGGCCTGTCTGACCCAGGCTGGGTAAAATTTGTCTATGGCTCTTTCTTTTCTCCATGGATTCAGGGAGCGTGTGTCTTTACATACAGCATGCTGCAGTTTGAGGCAACAACCGTCCTGAATGTAAGAATAAAAACATCATGATGTGGTTTCAGCCATAACTGATATGTGCAAAACAGATGGTAAAAAAGGATAATATCCGAAGTAACTTTAAAATAACATAAAAATCATGAGACTATGAGGGGAGGCAATGTTGTCTAGTAGTGTCATCCCCGGGTAGGCTGCCTCTTTTGTGCACCCCTTTCAAGTGACAGGCCTGTGCCTCCACTCCTCTTTGGGGGTGGGACCCCACGATCCAACTAGTCTCTACTGGGTCGCTGGGTTACATCCCCCTGGATGTCAACCGAGATACATAGCAGGCCCAACAGGCTTGGCACCTGAAAGAGTTTCCCTTCAGGAGCCTGGGGTGGTAATAGTATGAAGCAGCTTCTTCAATATATAGTATAACTTATTTACCAAAAGGTGCATAGCACTCAGAAAAATTGATTTAAAATAACAGAGATCTATGCGCATACTGTCTTACCTACACTTAGGAGTCCGATGGCACCTTAAAGACTAACACATTTATTTGGGCATAAGCTTTCGTGGGTAAAAAACCACTTCTTCAGATGCATGGAGTGAAAATTACAGATGCAGGCATTATATTATTGACACATGAAGAGAAGGGAGTTACCTCACAAGTGGAGAACCAGCGTTGGCAGGGTCAATTCGATCAGGGTGGATGTGGTCCACTCCCAATAATTGATGAGGAGGTGTCAATTCCAGGAGGGGCAAAGTTGCTTTTGTAATGAGCTAGCCACTCCCAGTCCCTATTCAAGCCCAAATTAATGATGTTAAATTTGCAAATGAATTTTAGTTCTGCAGTTTCTCTTTGAAGTCTGTTTCTGAAGTTTTTTTGTTCAAGTACGGCTACTTTTAAATCTGTTAGAGAATGTCCAGGAAGTTTGAAGTGTTCTCCTACTGGCTTTTGTATGTTATCATTACTGATGTCCGATTTCTGTCCATGTATTCTTTTATGTAGAGACTGTCCTGTTTGGCACATATACATGGCAGAGGGGCATTGCTGGCACATGATGTCATATATAACATTAATAGATGTGCGGGTGAATGAGTCCCTGATGGTGTGGCTGATGTGGTTGGGTCCTCTGATGGTGTCGCTAGTGTAGATATGGGGACAGAGTAGGCAACGAGAGTTGCTACAGGGATTGGTTCCTAGGTTAGTGTTTCTGTGGTGTGGAGGCGAGTCACCCATCATAAACAAACATACAAAAGCATGCACCATATTCACAAAAAGTAATACAGCTATTTCCCAGTTCTCTACATAAGGGCAGTGGATTGGGAGTCAGGAAACATAGTTCTGCTCTCAGCTCTATCACTGAGCTTCTGGGTGACCTCAAGGGTATGTCTACACTACGGGATTAATCCGAATTTACAGAATCAGAATTTTGGAAACAGATTGTATGAAGTCGAATGTATGCAGCCACACTAAGCACATTAATTCGGTGGTGTGCGTCCATGTACCGGGGCTAGCGTCGATTTTCGGAGCGTTGCACTGTGGGTAGTTATCCCATAGCTATCCCATAGTTCCCGCAGTCTCACGCGTCCATTGGAATTCTGGGTTGAGATCCCAGTGCCTGATGGGGCAAAAAACATTGTCGCAGGTGGTTCTGGGTACAGCCTCACCCCTCACTCCATGAAAGCAACGACAGACAACCATTTCACGCCTTTTTTCCTGGGTAAACACAGCAGACGCCATACCACGGCAAGCATGGAGCCCGCTCAGCTCAAGACAGCAGTCATGAACATTGTAAACACCTCACGCATTATCGTGCAGTTTATGCTGAACCAGGACCAGAAAAACGAGGCAAGGAGGAGGCGGCGACGGCAGTGCGGCGACGAGAGTGATGAGGACATGGACATGGACATGGACATGGACACGTACATGGACACAGAATTCTCTCAAACCGTGGGTCCCGGCGCTTTGGAGATCATGTTGTTGATGGGGCAGGTTCTATCAGTGGAACGCCGATTCTGGGCCCGGGAAACAAGCACAGACTGGTGGGACCGCATAGTGTTGCAGATGTGGGACGATTCCCAGTAGCTGTGAAACTTTCGCATGCATAAGGACACTTTCATGGAACTTTGTGACTTGCTTTCCCCTGCCCTGAAGTGCCAGAATACCAGGATGAGAGCAGCCCTCACAGTTGAGAAGCGAGTGGTGATAGCCCTGTGGAAGCTTGCAACGCCAGACAGCTACCGGTCAGTCGGGAATCAATTTGGAGTGGGCAAATCTACTGTGGGGGCTGCTGTCATGCAAGTAGCCAAAGCAATCATTGAGCTGCTGCTACGAAAGGTAGTGACTCTGGGAAATGTGCAGGTCATAGTGGATGGCTTTGCTGCAATGGGATTCCCTAACTGTGGTGGGGCGATAGATGGAACCCATATTCCTATCTTGGCACCAGAGCACCAGGGTACCCAGTACATAAACCGCAAGGGTTACTTTTCATTGGTGCTGCAAGCACTGGTGGATCACAGGGGACGTTTCACCAACATCAACGTGGGCTGGCCGGGAAGGGTTCATGACGCTCGCGTCTTCAGGAACGCTATTCTGTTTAAACGGCTGCAGCAAGGGACTTACTTCCCAGACGAGAAAATAACCATTGGGGATGTTGAAATGCCTATATATAGTTATCCTTGGGGACCCAGCCTACTCCTTAATGCCATGGCTCATGAAGCCATACACAGGCAGACTGGACAGGAGTCAGGAGCTGTTCAACTACAGGCTGAGCAAATGCAGAATGGTGGTGGAATGTGCATTTGGCTGTTTAAAAGGTCACTGGCGCACTTTACTGACTCGCTCAGACCTCAGCCAAACCAATATCCCCATTGTTATTGCTGCTTGCTGTGTGCTCCACAATCTCTGTGAGAGTAAGGGGGAGACATTTATGGCGGGGTGGGAGGCTGAGGCAAATCGCCTGGCTGCTGATTACGCGCAGCCAGACACCAGGGTGATTAGAAGAGCACACCAGGAAGCGCGGCGCATCAGAGAAGCTTTGAAAACCAGTTTCATGACTGGCCAGGCTACCGTGTGAAAGTTCTGTTTGTTTCTCGATGAAAACCCGCCCCCTTTATTGACTCATTCTCTGTAGGCAACCCACCCTCCCCCTTCGATCACAGCTTGCTTTCAAAGGAAATAAAGTCACTATCGTTTAAAAATA